ATAATAGAATCTGGACTCTCACTCTTTCGGGGTCCTACACTTTTGCCTCCTTTAAGGCCCTATTACCCCCTCTCCTATTGGTTTGTCCTTCCTGGTTAAAGAGGTGTGGTGTCAACCTATTCCTCCTAAGGTTGGGAGTTTTTGTTGGGAAACCTTCCTGGAAAGAGTTAATACAAGGGATTTACTTCAAAGAAAAAGACCCAATAGATGTTTATCTCCTAACTGGTGTGTCCTCTGTAAATCTGATGGTGAGTCTGGATACCACTTACTAATTTCTTGTCAGTTTGTTAAAGGTATTTGAGAATGGTTTACTTCTTTGTTTGGGTGCAGTATGTTGGACTGTTTGGGAGGAGAGAAATTCACGGATCTTTTCAGATAAGGAGAGAAGCTTGGAAGCAATCTTGGAGAGTATCCATGTTAGGGTGATACATTGGTTGAAAACTTTAGAACTGTTTACGTACTTCTCAGTTGATCAAATGATAAGAAATTGGAAGGAGATTGCAGATTCAGCTCCGGTGAAGAAGTCCTCAAGTTCTTGTTGGACGCCTCCACCTCAAGGGTTTACCAAACTGAATTTTGATGGCAGCAGCATGGGTAATCCAGGGCCTCCGGAATAGGGGGAGTGATAAGAGATGAAAAAGGGAACATGTTAGCTATGTATTCCTGTCCAATTGGGTGGGTGGTTCTCTAAGGGCTGAGATTCTAGGAGCTCTTGAAGGGATCCAAAGGGCTAAGGACATGCATATTAAAAAACTGATCATAGATGGTGATTCTGAAATTGTGGTGAATTGGGTAAAAGAGGATAGCTCTAAGYTCTAGATTTACAACAATGAAAAGAGGAAGTTTAAGTGGCTGACTAAGGACATCAAAGTTCATTGCACATGGATAAAAAGAAATGCAAATTCCTTGGCAGATGGACTAGCTAGACAAGGGGTGAACAAAAACTCTCTTTTGGGCTGTGTTGTAAGTTTTTCATGGTTTGGGTGTATATTGGTATAGTAGGGAGTTAAGATTCTTTAGCTCCTTTTCTATGTAACTTCCTAAGTTCTCACTTATTAATAAAATTTACTGTTATTGATAAAAAAAAAAAAAACGTGGACATATTTTCTTATGACTCAAAGGGAGAAACAAATTCAAGAGTACTCTGCTGGTTTCATGAACCTTTGGACTGAATATGTGTTGGTTCACTTAGGAGATTTATCTACAGACTGTTGTGTAAAAACTATGAAGAAACACGAGGCAGGTTATGCCTTTTTTGATGCATCTCCAGCCTGAGTTGGAGCATACATGTCATAAAGTTCCAACTTGCTGTAAATGTGATCCATTTGTCTATGACATAAGCCTTTGACGAAGAGATTGGCTAGCTGATCTTTTGACCTAACATAAGGTCTAACAATTTATCCACTTTTGATATTTTCCCTGAAAAAGTGGCAATCCACTTCTATATGCTTGGTTCTTTGATGAAACACAAGATTGGTGGAAATATGGATTGCTATTGATTATCACAAAACGAGTGGAAACTTTCACACCAATTTCCTATAATAGTTGTTTTAATCAAATTAACTCACAAGTTGTGTGTCACATGGCCCTTTTTACTCAGATTCTACACTACTCTTAGCAACCATGCTTTGCTTTTTGCTCTTCTAATAACCAAATTTCTTATACGAAAGGTGGAATAGCCAATTGTGGATTTCCTATTAGTAACCAATCTTGCCCAATCTGCATCTGTATAACCTTTCAAAGACAGTTCTCCCCCTTTATTTTCTTATACAACAACCCTTGACCTAGAGCACCCTTTAAATAACAGAAAACCCTAATAATACCTTCCCATTGACTTGTACTGTGTTTTGCATAAACCAACTCACTCTACACTAAAAGAAATAGATGAGATTTCCAACTAGTCTTTTATATCTCTTAGGTCACTATCAAATATCTTGACATTTGGATTGATAGGAGTATCCACTTGTTTTGCTCATAATAATCCTATCTCTTCTAATAATTCAAGCATATATTTCCTTTGTAGAGGAGATTCCCCACTTTGACCTCACTATCAGAATGTCTAGAAAACACCTTAAGCGCCCTGTGTCTTTGAGTTTGGAACTTCTATTGTATAAACTATTTCAACACCTTGATTCCCTGTGTATCACTTCCTGTAATAATGATATCATCAAGATACATGGCTAGTATAATCTTACCAGAAGGTGTCTCTTTACTGAAAAGCAAGTGGTCAACACTACACTATTTGCAGGCTAAACTATTGTCTCCTACTAAACCGACCAAAACTAGACTCGCAGCAACTGTTTCAGCACATAAGTTGCCTTGTTCAATCTGCACATTTTGCCAACCTCCCCTTGAGAAACATACCTAGGAGGTTTCTCCATATACACTTCCTCCTGAAGATCACCATGGAGGAAGGCATTCTTTACATACAATTAAAACAAAGGTCATAGTGGACAAACCATTTTACCAATTGGAGAGAAGGTATTGGTGTAATCATAGTTTTTAAGGCGTCTAGGCAACACTAGGGCACCTAGGCAATAATAATTTTATAATATAAAAAAGTAACTTTTGGATAATATAAAAAACTAACTTTTGGTTAGTTCCCTAGTTTTGTATACGATTCAGCATGTATCTTAATTGAAAAAATAGCAATTCTTTTTATTAAGAACATTAAATTCCCTCTAAAAATGTGGCAAATCATCACATCTAAAAGATACAAATATTTTACATATTTTAATTTCTGTTTTGGAATGGTAGAATACTGATATGTTTCATTCTATTGCCAATGGGCATATTTATACAGTAAGCTGCTGCAATAAATAGAAAGAAAAGAAAATAGAAAGAAGAAAAAATAGAAAGAAGAGAAAATAGAAAGTACAAAAATAGAAAGAAAGAAATAGAAAGAAAAAACTTTCTAAATCAATCCTTCCACAATCCTAGGAAAATATACAATTCTATTTTTAGATCTGAACCAGCAACCCCACGTTTTCCAACAATTTCATTATTTTCAAAAATAATACTACTATAATAAGTGTTTAATAGAGCAATTTCATATCAATTAGTAGCTAAAGAAGGTTATTAACTTTATATGATAAATATTCAAGATAGAAAGTAAAATAGGAAAAACAAGGATGGAGTTTCTGTTTTATTTAATTAGAGAGAGAGAGAATAGACAAAAAGAACCTCTTTATAATTCTATTCCTTCTTTCTTTTTTTTTTTCTCTCCTCAAAACCCTTTGATCTTTTAAATTTCAATAGTAAAGCATTAAAACAAAGTATAATTGATATATATATATATATAGCATATAATAAAATGTATTAACACAGACATTAATAAGATACAACAATATAAATGATATCATAAAAGGTTCTTGGCTTGTCATTCCTTGACAACTTTGGGTGTAATCAACACCATAAATTTGGGTATATCCTTTCACCACCAACTATGCCTTATAGCTCTCCACACTACCACCGGGTCGATTATTAACTTTGTAAACTTACTGGCAATCTACTACCTTTTTCTAGGAGGGAGAGGAGTAAAATCCCAAGTATGATTAGACTCAAGGACATGAAATTTTTAATAAATTGTCTTCTTCCAGTCCGGCAAGGCAAGGGATTCCTGAATAGACCTAGGGATAGACACAAAATATTTAAATGCATTATAGGACCTCAACGTGACTAGGACTCCAAACATCAAAATGGACAAGGACAAAAGTGCTCGATAATTTATTATTATCTCCCAAAACAAATGACACTTGACAATGTTTGCTAAGCTGATGCAACTCAAATTGCAACTAAGTAATAGATGCCAAACCAGGAACTAGCATCTTGAGAGTAGGAGGAGATGGATGGCCTAACCAACATTGCTATTGTAGAGGGGAAAATGTTGTATGTAAAGCTTTTTGTGGACCACCACTATCCAAATAGTGGTCAATCATCCCAAACAAAAAGATGATATACATGTATGTGTATATGTATCCATGTATACATACATGTATGATTTATTAAAAAAATTATGTATATATGCACGTATGCATGCATGCATACATACATACATATATATAACTTCTAAACTGCTTAACCAATGACTATGAAACTTTAAATGTGCGTTAACTATAACAAGGAAAATCAAACTACTATGCTGAACCAGGAAATAATTTGTAAAAAATGCACTTACTGTTTTAAAATGCAAGACTACACAAATGTTAAATAATGAACAATGGAAACACATGTGTCATTGTCACCAAATTCTTTACCATTATCATTTATAGCCATAATTTTATTCAACTGCCCAACAGTGGAATTTATGGAACAGAAAATCAGCATTGTGTTTGTGATGCTGATTCTTGCTAGAATTGATTAATGATTGCTTGAAATGTTAGCTCATTTCTAGTTTCATTAGTCTTTCACAGTACAATTATAAGCAAGGTTCAAAGTATCACATCGTATCGTATCTTTAGGGGTCCGATACACCTGTTTACAGGTGTTTTTGGGGAACTCTTTTTTTAATGAATATATATATATATATATATATAAACCAAATTTGAAAAATCTAAAAAAACATAACAAGTGCATGGTTTTAAGTACCGACACACCTCTGCCGAAGTGTCGATACACAGGTGTATCGATACTTTGAACCTTGATTATAAGTGAGTCATGCCATGTGCAGGAGGTTTTCTGACCACATCCTTGTAATTAATGAAAGTTTCCATTACCAAGTTAAACTTTTTCTCTAATTGGACTCCATTGGGTATTCTTATCTGAATATATGGCTTTTTATGTGTTTATTCTCTTTTCCTTAACTAGTTTTAGTTTTAGGTTTTCTTTGACTTATCAAAGGTTATACATGTTCAGCCCAATTTTCTTAAAATTCAGTTGTTTTTCCTGGATTGTTTGTGTTCTTGTTGGTTCAAAGTTCACTTTTTGTTGAGAATACCAGTAAAAGGACTATTTATATACTTTGATCACATTGTTAACCTTTAGGGTTATGCATATCTTAGATATGACCTGACTCGGCTGATGATTGGGAGTGAAGGAACCTTGGGTGTAATAACAGAAGTTACTCTACGGCTTCAAAAAATTCCCCAATACTCTGTGGTAACTTTTCACTTTTATGGATAGTATTGGGCATTCTGCTCTCAATTTCATTACATTGCATAATGTTCTGTTTCCTATGATATTTGAATCTCTTCTATCGTGCTGTTTTCTGGTTCTATGCAATAAATATTTAAGTTCTTTAATTGTTCTTCTCCATAGCTGATTTTTGTAGACAACTGTTTCTGTGCTCTTACATATTTACCATTCATTGCTAGTGACTAGTGATTTACTTTTATTCTCATATTTGATTGCTGCTTGGAGAAATATTGTTGCATTATGTGCAGAAATAAAAAATCTGTGGGCTGAAACAGTCACCAAGGATTTGATTATTTTGGTCAAGCTGTAAGGAAACTTGGATATAAAGACAAGTCACATAGACCATACACTTTTTGTTAAGCATGATGGGTGTGTAATTACCATTTTCATATTATATGTGAATAATATGGTAGTGACAGATAATGATCTTCCACAAGTCCAATTGAGGGAGTTCTTTGTTGCGATTGGAATCCCTTGTTAACAGTGTGCAAATCAGCAAAATAAATGGCAAAAGAGAAATAAAAAGTAATGTCCAGTGAGAAAAATAATCAAACACCATAAGAGAAAATCTTCCACTATCAATAAGAATAATGGGTTTACAACTTTTCTAGTTTAAACTAGAGAATAGCAACTTCAAGAGACAATAACCTCTCTTGGATACACAAAAACAGTTATCAAACAAGAAGTGTTTCAATCAACAAAACATGAGAAAGATCTCACCAAACAAAGCTTCCAAATTCCTCTCAAAACTATTATTAAAGAGCCAAAAAAAAAAAAACACCAAATGCTTGATGGAAGGAGTGTAAAACAGCAGCAGCCAAAACAGTTGATTGAAGTGCTCTTGTTCACATAGCAGGAAGCTTGAATCCCTTCTCTTGTAAAAGAGTAATTTCCTTTCCCACTCTCTTCTTCTCCTTTTTTCTCAAAAGAGGATACCAACGTAAGTGTCTAGAATGTCAAGAGACTCTCTACACCAAGACAAAATAAAGTTTGTAGAGAAAGCCAAATGATAGTGGAGAGTGAGTCCCACCATCCACTAACATGGAATTAAGACAAGACAATTTGTCTCATTCTCACTAATGAGAGAATATCAAGAGTCTCAACATTATTTGTCTTTCTTTTTAACTTTCTCAAATTACATGTTGGGCAAGAGATCCCAGCACATGAGTGGGTCCCACCTCCACATGAGGGGGGGAACCCAACATTCTTGGCATCTAATTTGAAATTAAGGATCTTGTAGAACTCAAATATTTCCCATGCATTAAAGTGGCTAGATCAAGGAAAGGAATATTTATTTTCAAAGTAAACATGTCTTGTGTTTATTGAGGAAACAAGTGAACTAGGACCATACCTATTGATTCTAATCATGGTTTTCAAAACCAAACCGGACCGGAAAAACTGGGAACCAGTTAGGTGACTGGTTTCGTTTTACCCCAAAACCGTTATTTCCCCCAAAACCATTGATTTGGTCAGCAAACCGTTGACCCGGGCGGTCAAACCGTTTGAAACATTCAACGGTTTGGCCGGTTTTTATTTTTTTGTCAGAATGGGCTGTCTGTTCGGTTTGAACGGTCGGACCGCTTGACCCAGGAACCAGACCCCTGACCAGTTCGTTGTCTGGGTCGGTTTTAAAAACCTTGATTCTAATTACCAGTGTTTGAAGAAGAAGGTTAACTTTTGGCAGAGAAAAGTATGTTTTAAAGACTATTTGATTTCTGTATCTATGTCTGTTGTTAGATTTAAGTTTTTTATTTCTACTGTTAGAGTGCTGCCAGGGACCTACTTGTAATTTCTTTATTTTTTATTTTGTTATATAACACGTTAAGATAAAATAGAAGCTGGGTGCCGCCAGCACTATTCTTTTTGACTCTCACATATTTTTTCTTTCTCTTCTCTTCTCCTCTCTTCTCTTCTCCTCTCTTCTCTCCTCTCTCTTCTTCCTCTTTTCTTGTAAGAGAACATGGTATAGAGCACAACTCTGGGCAATAGGAGTTGTTCTTTCTGCTGAATAGTATCCATTCAACCCAGGCGTCAGATTTCTTGGACTGTGAAGACAAAAACCTAATCGGACTGATCAGAAATATTTGTTTGTCATTTTTTTTTCTGGGTTCTTCCTTGGTCGTAGCACCAAGGTAACCCTAGTCGGAGGAGGCCTATGCTGTGAAGCTTCCTTTTTTACCTTCGGCTGATGCTGTGAAGGCTTAGTCGTGTTTTTGCACCTTCGTACAGGTGCTGTACAGGGGTGTGTCATCCCCTTTGTCACGGGTATGTACTGTGTTTAAATTGGTGTGTGAAGTGTGGAGTTTACAGCAGTATATCTCTTCTTTCTGGACTGTTTCTGGACTGTTTAGTTGCTGCCAGTAGCCCTTCAGTAGTGTGTACATGTTTTTAGAAGCACTGTGTGGACTTTTTGTGCCCTAATTGTGACTGTTAGACATAGTACTGGTGTGAGGACTGGTCTTGTGCACCTGCAGTTTTGGTTCTGACTTGTAGACCTGCCTTTGAAAATGGTGAATGATGATTCTGCCTCATCTGGGGTTAAATCAACCCATGGTACAGCAGGTATGGGGACTGAAAGTATGATGTTCCCTATGCTGATTACTCCTTTAAATGGTCTGAACTACTTGGAGTGGGCCAAAGGTGTAAAACTTTATGTAACAGCAAGGGGAAAAGCTGGTTACATAAATGGAAGGGTGAAAGAACCCAAGAATGGGACTGCTGAACATGATCGGTGGGACCAAGAAAGCAGTATGGTGATGTCCTGGCTTCTTGTAGCCATGGAATCTGATGTGAAGAACTTTATGTGGGCAGGCACTACAAATGAGATATGGGAATAGGCCAAAACCACCTATTCTGAGCAAAGGCACCATGCTAAGATCTACCAGTTACAAGTTGAATCCTCAACTTGTAAGCAGGGAAACCATAGCTTATCAGTCTATTTTTCAGCCCTTACCTCAGTATGGAAGGAATTGGACCACTATCAGGCTATAGAATGGAAACATGATGGTGATGCTAGAGCCTATAAGAAGATGGTTTCTCAGCAGTGGGTTTTCACCTTCTTGTTGGGACTAAACCCCATATATGAACCCCTTAAAGTTCAGATTTTAGGAAGTAAAGAGTTGCCTTTAGTTCAAGAGGTGTATGCCCTTGTTCAATTTGAGAAAAGTAAGTGGACTGTGATCGTTACTACCGAGGGGGAGCAATAGGTAGCATTAGCTGCAATGGGTGGAAAAAATATGGGAAAGAAAAATGATTCCAGAAAAGCTGATGATAAGTATAAGTTGTTATGCACCCACTACCGTCATTTAAGACATACACGTGATATGTATTGGGAGCTCCATGAGAGACCAAGGTGGGCTGTAAAGAACCAAGAACAGGGTAAGGTACAAGGTCAGAAGAAGCTTAATATAGCACACAATGCACTAAATGTGGTAACCCAAGAAACTCAGTTTGTTGAGATGCCAACTGATACTACTCGAGAGCACTTCGTTGGTTTTGACCCCAAGGAAGACATTATGAACTCCTTCCGTAGCCACTTGGAGTCATATGGTAGGGCCTTGCGCCAAATGGACAGATCATCTACTGGTTACCCTTCTACTTCATTTGTGTCTACATCAGGTAATGTTGCTTCTACCTTCCATGTCTCCACTACCATTGATTCTCCCTGGATCATTGACTCAGGGGCTTCTAATCACATGACCGGTAAGCCAAACCTAATTCAAGTCTTATAACCTTTTGTCAGGAAGGGATAAGGTGAGACTTGTAGATGGATCATTTTTCCTCCATTGTAGGCCAATGATTAATATCCCTTCCCCAAGGACTTAACCTGAATAATGTTTTGCATGTCCCTCAGCTTCCCATTAACCTTCTTTCTATTAGTAGTATCACAAATTCAATAAACTCTAGTGTACCTTTTTTCTTGATTCATGTATTTTTTAGGACCTAACTTCTAGGAGGACGATTGGTAGAGGAAGCTTAGTGGATGGTCCCTACACTCTTGACAACAAGGCTGGTTTCTCGGTGTCACCTTCAGAGTCTCGTAGTCGGTCAAATAAGGGTCAATTTTTTTTGTGGCATAATTGGTTAGGTCATGTGTCTTTTGAAATAATAAAGTCTTTGTTTCCTTTTTTATTTAAGTCCTGATCAGTGTTAGATTTCCATTGTCAAATGTATCAGTTGAGCAAGCAATGTAGAACAATATTTCCTTCAAGTAATAAAAGATCAAGCTTCCCTTTCCATATTGTGTATTTTGATGTGTGGGCGCCTACTACCATAACTTCGGAGGGCGGGTACACGTACTTTATTACATTGATTGATGATTTCTCCCACTATACATGGGTGTTTCCCATGTGTAGCAGAGACAAAGTCCCAAAGATCGTAAGAGATTTCCAAAGGATGGTGTTTACACAGTTTCATGTTGAAATTCAAAATTTTCAATCCGACAATGCGAAGGAATATTTCCATGGTGAATTAAATGAATTCTTTGCTTCCCATGGATCCATTCATAGGAGCTCATGTGCAAGAACACCACAACAAAATAGTATTGTAGAAAGAAAGAACAGACACCTCCTTGAGGTAGCCAGAGGGATGATGTTACATATGAATGTTCCCAAACGATTTTGGGTTGATGTTGTACTTGTTGTTGCTTATGTCATAAACCGCATGCCCTCCAGAGTGTTAAACTACAAGGCCCCTCATCAGCTATTGTTTCCTCAGACTCCTTTATTTTCCATTCCCATGAGGGTGTTTGGTTGTAGTGCTTTTGTCCATGACTTGTCCACGTCCCATGGTAAGTTGGATCCTCGGTCTATTCCATGTGTCCTTCTAGGGTATCCCTCCTCGCAAAAGGGTTACCGATGCTTTGATCCCGTTTGTCATAAGTTCTTTGTCTCCATGGATGTCTCTTTTTTTGAGTTTGAACCGTTCTTCCCTACTTCTCCTTAGGGGGAGAGTAATGTGGAAGA